TAATAATGAAAGAATTTGAGTGTCGCGCGGATGGTGAGGCTAACAAAACGGCAGGAGAAGAATCGAGTGCGATGAAGGAAAATGCAATTTTGCCAGCCCCCAAACACCGACACGTATACAAAAGCCTGTACTTACACGTCGCAGAATATACACTGTGTACGTATGTGTGTGTGTGTTCCGGCATACTTCCGGCGCACGTAGGACCGCGCGATTCAGGAATACCAACCTGCGGACAAACAAACGGGTTAATTAAAAGCCTGACTCCACGAACTGCGAGGGAGAAACACGCGGAATAGAGGGCAAGCACAATGCGGAGGCAGGACGAGGAGGTCCTGTCTGCCGGGTTTGGTCTCTTATTTAGGCGCGTGTGTACCACACACACACGTACAAATATTTTGCAAAGCACATAGAAATATGTACATATACACCCATATATATTCATATACATATATGCCTATGCATTCTCCAGGCTGACGTCGAATATGAAATTTTTCGCGTACCGATCGTCCCAGAGTTGCGTTAATCGGTTTGCAAAAATTATGCGTTGTTTTTGGCAGGCATTCACGATCGCAAACAATCGTTCAATGACGAAGGCCCCTTGATTCGTGCGTGTGGAAATTTATAATTGACGAGGTGAGAATAAATCCGTAAATATTATTTCATTGGTGTATTTGTGAAGAATATTAATTTTCTGGTACCTACACAATATGTAAACAACAATAGAATCAACGAGTGTGAATATGCGCGAATAAAAAGGAAACAAAAACAGATTTTATCTCGTATAATATCTAAATAATTCATATAATGTTTTAATTAGAATAACACTACATCTACTTTAGAATTAATAAAAGACTACGTCCAAACTGGTAACTGGGATCGTTGCACTGCCATAACGCAGCATAATACGCTCTTAAATGATAAAGTTTCGCGAGAATACAGTTAAACGCAAGTCTCCATTGCGAAAATAATTCGCCGTCTTATATGACCAATTTGTTCGTTCACAACCGCGCGAGTGATCGAGACGATGGTCGTAAACGAGAGAAGAAAAAGGCATTTTTACGGGAAGGCCGCACTGACGGCAACTTTAACGACGTTCAATGAATATAACCAGCTATATACTATCATGAATTTCTCTATCCCTATTTTCAACTAAAACACCCGGTAGACTCTCACACGTCGTCTCGTACACGCACGCGATAAATCGTTAGCTCGTAAAAGCAACGTTTCCCTATTCGGTCAGAGTCCCGAGGAAATTAAATGCGCTCAAAAGGGCCCATCAAAATCGTGTCTCGGTGTGCGACGGAATTAACTCCCTATAAAGCACAAACGTGTTTCGAAGTAACGTAGTCGATGAAAGGCGGGACCTTTGACTCTTCTCTATACCTGACAATCTCGATTGGAATTGTCAATTATAGATTTACGAGCGCAAAAAGTCAAGTAAAAAACACAAGTTTAAAAATAAATCAATTTTAATTAAAGCAATAATTTTTGAAATAAATTTTGTTGTTGAAAATTTTCAGTAAAATAAATTCAATAAAATATAGAAGCGATAACAAAGATATAGCATTGACAATTTGCAATAATTTTAAGAAATATACGATGAAATATCAATATTAAATATTTTATTTTCATTAGCATTATCAATATTTTTCCTATAAGTAATTTTATTTAAATGGCTTAATACTTCAGAGATATAATTTATGAATTATTGACTGATTCGGACTAATTAAAAAAGAAAAATATACGCAGAACTCTTAATTTATCTGGTCGTAAATGGTAGTATAAAAAATTAAAGAAAATTATTTTAATACTAAAACATACAAAATATATGTTCTATTTTCATCATCACTAACTTTATTGTTGCACGAATTTTAAACAGCGAAGTTACAACAGATTACAACGGAATTACAGAAAATCTGTCAAAGTACGCGAGTTGATAAACACTAAGGTTACTTTCCTGATTCTAAAGGTAAGATCAATGAAACTTCGAGGTGAGAAATTTGCAATCCTGCGGAAACGTGCATAAGTTGTGCAGCTCTCTTACGAGCACGCTCAACGATGCTAGTAACATCGGCGCAACTTCGTGCCCGACCGGAGCAAACTTCTCTGATTTCTCTGCTTGTGAACTAATTATCATCCGCGCGCGCTTATCGCGACCGTGTACATCGTTGGCGGTTACTTGAACATGTAACAATGGAAATTTCAGCCGCAACCGCACCGCGCGGAAGATCGGCGCGCTCGATCAAACTTCGCGCAACTTTGTGGCGCGTCACGATGGAAACCGCAATTTCGCGATTCTTTTCGCCGCGAAAATCTTTGCCAATCACGCGGGAAACTCCTGGAATTTTTGCCGCGAGAGTCATTCCATTTGGCGCGCGCTCAAATGGCAAGAAAATCAATGCGCTTAAAAATAAGCCGCAAATAAGATGTTTATCTCGAAGAAGAAACGTTTTGAACATGCTCATGCATTTTACAAAATTTATTTATGCATTTCAGGATTTATAATTTATAAATATATTTCTTTTTACCTATAATTGATCTTTTTTTAACTCTCCTTCTCTCCTCTCTTTCCCAAAGTTTTTATAATTAAACAGTGTCTGCTTGTCATATATATGATTTGTAATCTTATAATTAGTATACGATTTAGGGCAACATACTATGTTAATATATGTTATCTGTCATCTAAGATAATAAAAACTGCCGGTAATATATATATATATATATATATATATATATATGTTTAAAAAATTTAACTGCAATTTATGCACTTATTTCATAACGCTAAAAAAATAGAATTTATATACTAAATATTTTACTTTTATTTTTTAAAATAATAATTGCGTTTTCTTTTTGGCAATGAACTTCCCATTACCGCGAACTTTTATTTTATCATTGCTGCGAAATAAGCAACGAGATGGAAGTGAATCATTAATTTTCTCGCACGGAAATCCGTGAATAATTCGGTGAAATCTCTGTGAATTTAGTCGCGGATGTAGGCCACGCAGTTGCACGCGAATCGCAGTCGAAATTGATCCTCGACCGGAGACCGATACTTGAATTCCGCTAGTTGCGGGAGAAACCAGCAGCCAGAACAGGAAGACGTGGAAGGAGAAAGAGAAAAGAGGTGCGACAGGTGCGTTTAGATACACATAGCTATTAGAGGCTGCACGGAAATATGTCACGGGACTAAATTGAGAATCCCTCGCGAACTCTAGCCAAAACGTCGGACTCGAACCTTTTTTTTATACACGTATAAAAAGCACATAGTATTTGATATTTTATTTGATCAACCGCGGAATATAGTGTGTCGGATCGAGCCAGATATAGAAATTCATAAAAATGTCGTATAAAAATGTAAATATGAAACAAAATCCCCTTCTGTACACGCGCACACTCGTTGAGAATTGCTGCATCTTTTTGTGCAATTTGATAGAAAGAAAACATTCTCGCTTGTATAAAACACTATAATAAAATTCTTTGTTTTGGTAGCAGCAACTGTGAATGCGATAAAGTTTCTGTTTGGAGAACGGATAACTTTACCTGTTTCACAAACTTTAACGATGATAAATAATTTATCCTGCTATTTGCAAGCTATCATCTTGCAATTTGTATGCATAATATTGCTAAAGAGCATTGTGTGTGTGCAACAAACATGAGACTACAGTAAAAACGTAAAAAGCAAATGAATATATAGAGTAGCTGCAGTATCACGATTTAAATAAAAAACCATACTACTTTCGCGTTTTTTATTCGAGCGCTGAACATTATAATACCGACTGCAATTATTAATAATAAATAATATTCAAAGGCGAGCTCTTGCAAATTAAAACGATTGTCCTTTCACTATTTGTAAGTTTATGGTGCGTGAAACGCGTTGCGGCAATTCACATAACGCGCGTGCCTTTCCGCGTCCTTTATAACCATAAGTCAGGTCCGACATTTACGATACTTTAACGTATAAAATTTCAGGGTCATTAAAAAAAAGGGCGGCTACCGTCGCGATTCACGCGCACCCCCATAAATTCGCCAATTTTATCTTTCGTGTAAAAAATATTTGATGAAATCACAGACACTGATTTTGAGAGACACTTATTTTCACAAGTATTTCAAAGATTTTGGTTAAATTTTTCCCAGATCTAAAACTTGATAAAATAATTGCTTAAACTTAACAATCAAAAAGATCATTTTGTTCCGAGAAAGATTGCGGCGTTATTTCGTACTCAAGAAAATATTGTAATTGATCAGTCTCTATATTTTTCTTTCTTTTTTTTTTTTTTTTTATTTCACTGCACAGCTCACCCCACGAATGCAAATAAACTTTAAAAATAAATAGCGAAAACGCGCTGTTATCTCAATCTCGCTGCGCTTCGCGCATTGTTTTCGAAAAATCATCTTCCTCGTTTCTTCTCTCTCTCTCTCTTCTATATAAATCTTTCTCCAATTACCGATCGACTCGTTGTCTGTCGCCAGATTGATCAACGGCCACACTTAGGTAGTATCTAAATGTCCAAATACCAAACTATAAATCTATGCGACCGATCTCTCTCGCAGATGAGTCGCTCACCCCACGTGTGCAAGGCTATACACGCACATGGCGAAAGACGGTGTGTGCGTTGAAAACCGCAGGAGAGATGGAAAAGCGGTAGGAGAAGACTCAGAGGAAGAGAGAGAGAGAGAGAAAACGGCGTTCATCGTTTCTGAGGTAATTTTAGATCGGCAAGATAGCGCCTGCGGTACGTACGAGAGAAAGAGATGACTAGGGTGAAGAAGAAGGAGAGAGAAAGAGAGCCTCGCGAAGGTGGAAAACGCGGAGGAGAGAAAGAGAGAGAGAGAGTGAGTTTTGGAACGGGTCACGGAGTGTTTACGAAAGCGAGAGAGAGAGAGAAGAGAAGAGAAAAACGCGGAAGGTGCGAGAAAGAGGGCGAAAGAGGGAACGCGCCAAGAAGGAAGCTGCGGACAACGGAGTAAGAGAGAAAGAGAAATGGAGGAAGATAGAGAGAGGGAGGTAGACTTTGGGTGCGAGCGGTCTACTCGAACACAGTAATGCCGACCAGCTTCAACCGGGTGCCGCCAAATCGAACCCCGATTCGAATCCCGAACGGGAAGAAGCGCGAGGAACCAGAGGAGAGGAAGGAGAAGGACGAAGACGGTGGTGGAGGAGCAAAGGAGGACAACGAAGACGACGGCAATAGCAACAACAACGACGACGTCGACGACGACGGCGACAACGAAGACGACGACGACGACGACGACGACGGGGAACGCGAATAAAAAGAAATCGCGGAGGTGGAAGAGAAAGAAGAAGAAGAAAAAGGTACGTGCCAAAGAAACTTCCTGTCTTCCTGTCCGCGTGTAAAGGAAAACGGAGGTCAAAGGTAGTATGACGTGGCGTAACGAAGCTTGAGCGGAAAAAGGGTGAACCGCGTAAGACGAGAGAAGAAGAGAAGCTTCTTCGGGCAAAAAGGAAAGAGCGAGAAGAAAGCAAGAATAATGATACACGGTCTGTCGCTGATCTTCTTGAAAAAGTGTTCAAATGTGCTTAAATGTGTAGCACAGTTATGGAGAAAGTAATATTACGACCATTAATACATCTTCGTAGTCGTCATTTAATTAGATCTAAAAATGTGGCATTAAATTAATATTAAGAACTGGTTTCAATCTCGTAATATGAAAATCAAAATCGATAAAAGATTAGTTGGGCTAAGATTAAATTGGATCGACGTAAATCGAATCGATTGGGCAACGAAAAAATGATATCTATCATTAATGAGAGATACGTATTCACAGATAAAAATAAGTGCAATAATGGTGTAGTGATATTTTTGCAAGAATGTTTAAATGAATGAAAAAGAGCTTTAGATTCGCAGCAACGCTGTCTATTAATCTATTTTTCCTCGTGGATATTTGTCACGTGTAGCCGGTCGGTCCGACACATTCCTCGCGAAAGGTCGGTGAAGAAAAAGTGTAGAAGTCGAAGAAATTGGAAAAACGACGGGATATATACGCGGAACCGAGAATCCCCGTCTCGGACGATGTTTCCCGATGCCCTGTATCGTCTTCTGCGGCTTTCACGACGTCGTCGTGGTTTTACGATGTTCTATTAGAATCGAAGGGCGCGTTCTACTCATCCGCGCTGTTACAGCGCAAGAAGAAGGCGAGGCAATAAAGCGAACAGAACCGAGAAAACTCGGGGTTATCTTGCCGTAAAGAGAAAGAAAAATAACCGATCTTCTCGATCTTCTCGTTCGAATCCGGAAACGTGCCCGAAGATACTCGCGGACGTAAAGAATTTCTGTAGAGACGCGCGAAAAAGAGGGAACTACGATACAGATAGAAGAGATGAAATCACGTTACACACTGGTTCTGAAAAATTGAAAACGTCTGCGCTGGTTATATGGTGTCTGAAAGACGAATAGACGTCGTTGCTGATAATATCATGGATTTTTTCGACGGTAAGAAGTGAGTTGCAACTGCAAAAATGCCACAATTCTAACTTAAAGGTGTTACTAGCGGATGATCGATCCTTCTATCTTGAAAAATGATTGAAATAGTGTCGCTGGGCGTTTTTTAAAACGCAAGCACAAAAAACAAACTGAAAATGTAAAAATTATTGAAAAACGAATATTACGTGTACTTTTTGGTTCGCGAGTTCGAATTAAAAAAATTCCAATATAACTCTATTGCTGATTAACTACTTAAACGTTCAATGTTTAGTAAAGTTTTCTTTTTTAAAGAACGACTATGTCTGACATATATACACCCTGTCAGCCGTCTGAGGATTGTCAGAGGCACTCGCTAAAACTTTTCGCCGTTTTCTCTCATCGCTATATATATCCAGATGTTTACATTGCCGTCGATGAAGGCTTTGAGAATGTGAACGCAGCTTTTCTTTTGTCCTGTTGGTTCGGATTATCATCTGTCTATCATATGAAAACGTTTTATTTTAAAATTTGCCATCAAAGGATAATTTTTCCCATAGTAATCCTTCCAAATAATATAACGAAATCATGACTAATGAAGAAACATGTATATATATATATATAGTCTTATAAGTATATATATATATATATATATATACTTATAAGACAATAGTCGATTTTGATGAAACGAAATAATATTTCTCATTTTCGTTTCATAAAAATCGACTATATGTCTTATATAGTTTTCGTTTTATCAAAATCGACTATTGTCTTATAATTATATATAATATTTCTCATTTTCGTTTCATCAAAATCGACTATTGTCTTATAAGTGGATAATTTTCTCACGATCGGACGGTTCAAATGTACGCAACTGCCTTCGTTCGTGTATTTTCTCAATGTCAATTCTTTCGAAGAAACGAGCTCCGCCGTAAAACCTACATAAGCAGCGAAAAGCAAGTGGGAGTGTTTGTGTGAACACACGAACGCGAAGATAGAAGTATCGCAAGGGAGAGGACCCGGAGTCGGACCGCGTCAAATTGCGCGTGCATTTATCAACTGCCCTGCACGAAAGGTGGACATTGAGACATTCGCTCGCGAAGGCCCGGACAATAACAACGTCTCTCGCAAAAATATCTCTACTCTGTTAGACGCCTCGCTGCCTTTTATTGCCGACCCTTTTACCACGCTACAGTCCGCGTCGACTGCGTTGAGTACAATTAGAATCTCTCTTTTTTTCCTCTCGTCGCGAAATCGAGTTTTTCCGTAATGTAGCTGACATTCATTTCGTGCTTCACTTAATCCTTTCATTTTTCTTTTTAGAGATCTTTGATTGCGAAGCCGAAAGCTCGTAATCTCCATGAAAAAACGTAAAGATTATCCCAAAGTACAATGTCAGCAAGTTTTCACGGTAACGATCATTTCCAATATACCTTTTTTTTCGATACAAACTATATTTCAAAAAGCAAATCTCTATTTATCCTTTATCAATGTCAATTTCTGAAAATCGATAAAAAGTTGAAATATTTATTCTAATCGTTTCATAATAAAAAAATTAATCATAAACCTAATAAAATTGAAACTGAGTTTAAAATGATATTATAATAAAAAAGAAAAGGTTTTTAAAAGTGACATGTGTATGCAAATGTAAGAATCGTCTTGCAATATTTAAATCAACAAATTAATTCTGTCGAGCGATTTGAAGACTTGGGGGGAGAATGTTTTTTCTGTACACACGGAGAGAGAGAGAGAGAGAGAGAGAGAGAGAGAGAGAATCGCCATTATGAGTCAGACAACCGATGTAGACATACAAGTAGTCACGCTCGAGATTGTTCAGACATAAATGACACGCTGCGCCGCTGACTTTCCATGTTATAATGTCATAACGATAAAATCCCCTTACGATCGTCGCACGAGCATCGCGGAGGATTCCGAGACGCGACGTTCGTAAATCTGCACTTCGTAAACCGTTTCTGAAGCTGCTGCGCGCGACAACGAGCAATAAACGTGGCAATAAACGCGGGAACACGCCATGGAAATTTATTTCGCGACACATAAATGCAGCATGTGGAGCCTAAAATGCAAACTTTTTTCACAACTTTGTCGAACAATTGTGAATAGAGCCATTTTTGAATGATGTACATTTTAATTCAGAAAGTTTTAAATTGTTAGGAAGAAAATCTCTTTGCTGCTTACTTTCAATGCTGCAACATAGTTATATGCATATTCAACAAAAATACAATATAATAATAATAAGCAATTATTTTATTAATAGTTTTCATAAGAAATCTTGACTTAATTTGAAATAATTTTTTTTATATTGCAGGTTCATAAAGGTACGATCCTTGAATTATAAATAGCTGAATAAATGGCTTAATTTAAAGCTATTCTCATACTAAAATTCAAACTTGATTTTCTGGGAGTCTCTCAATTCGTGATTTAATTAAGATGTTTGATGTTGAATATTAAGAAGACTACTCCTGTTCCCGCAAGAGAAGTATGTACCTCGAAACTTTCTGAATATCTACTTCCAGCATTCCAACCGATTAGTCGACCACGAGATGTTTACATATTAGCGCTTTCAAGCTGCGTTCATATGATGCCCGAGTTATTTCTGCCCGCGAAGAGTAGCGCGACTATGAAATTCCGGATTATCGTGGGGCACCACATGGGAGAACCCCGGCTTCTTTACGATTCTCTCTTTCTTCCCGGCGATTAAGTTCTCATCGCCACGATTTCGTGCTGGCCCCGAGCGAACGTTCGTCCGGAGCACGAAAATGCCGCGTGCAAGCTTTTTTCCACAACCAATCTGTCGGCCGTCGACCGTAATAACGATTGGTCGACGATGAATTAATCGTCTACGGGAGTGCTAGGAGACGGCTGATGATTCATTTCTAACTCGGGGGTCGTTCGTTTTTCTTGGAGTCTTTCTGTCAGACTGTTGACAGTTCGGATGTGTACTTGAAAAATCAGTCGAGCAAGTCGTACAGAGCAGCTGAGGTATCTGCTGTCCGTATTCGAGAAGTTTATTCTTGCGCGCTTCCATTTATGTCGCGACCGCGAGGTATTATTAAAAAAAAATCATGATAAAATCATTCGATAAATAATTTTCTGACAAAAGAAAAATAGAAAAAAATTGAGTGACTTTTCCGCAAAAAATTGATATATTATACTGTGTAATTATGCATCAATATATATTATATTTACTCTCCACAATAAGTAATTCAAACTTTATGACTGTCAAATATCTTCAAAAACGTTTTACAAAGATATCGCAAAGATATTTTACGCGAATGTATTACTTACTAAAACTATATGAATAAATGAGAAAATGTTCTGATTTGTAAAACCAACAAATTTTTCAATAATAAAAATCATAAAATTGTGATAAATAATAATTTTCACATTTGTTAAGGAACATTCGATCTCAAATTCATCAAAGAATCAAATTCTATTTTTCATAATATTATTTTATACTTTATAATTTTACTATAATATATTTTGCGGCAAATTCCAAATAATACCAAGTTTATAACATTATCACGAATACGAATAAGAAGACTTCACAGCATACATTTAAAGCGAGAACAAAAAACACATTGCCACACTGAAATGATTCATAAGCCATCGCGAAAAACTGGAGAGAACCACGACTGTGTCCCAGCGTTAGCAAAGGTAACCCGCTTTCAAGGGCAGAACGATAACATCGCGGCCCAAGTTTAAATTGGAGGGTTGGCCGCTTAAGATTCAGTTCTATAAACTCGAAAGTTCAGTCCCACTTTCAAGATGGAAGGTGAATTGAGAGAGACCGAGGGATGGAGAAAGCAGGCAGGCAAGCTTTGAAGGGGGGAGAAGAACAGCGAACTTCCAAAGACGAGGCTTACGAGAACTTGACGCTGCAATTAGGCAAGCATTTTCGATCGAATTCAATTAGCCGCGTCCGTGGCCTCGTCGCGAATCCGGATTGCCTCGGCGAAGTGACTTCTGCGAAACTCGGCTTGTATTGTATTCCCGTATTACGTTTCTCTCACAGTAGATATACCGGAATTGCAAATAGAGAGGGAAAAGGGCCGTCTCGTTAGCATTCCTCGAGAGGCATCTAAGTACATCGCCGCTTCATTTTATTACTATTATTAGACATTCTTGTCTAACGATGAGGGAGACTCGACCGTGTCCCGCGCGAATTCTTTTATTGCGCTCGTTCTGTCTATTCGCTTAATAACGGAATATTTTGCGGTGAAAAGCAAGAGATATCTCCATAATGTGTATACACAGAATGTTGCTTGTTATTAGTGAAACCGCTAATTTTCCTTTTTTTTTTTTTTAGAAATATTGAACCTTCCATATAATATTTAATTTCTTGTTTAAATCTTTCATTATAATTTCAAGATATTATTATTATTATTATCCTTAATTTTACTGAAATTATAGTCAATGTATTGACGATGAACAAGAAGTTTCATTCAAAGCTTGGCATACTTCCACTTTTCCATAGCTAGGGGCAAAATATCGAAGAAACAAGTCGCATTATGAATAGAAGAAGCACGCAAGAGATATTTCGTTTAATTGGACATGACTCGTTCTGAATGGAAAAGCCCGAGAATGGCGAAACCATCCTCTTCGTTACATCCGACATGTTTTCCATCGAGGACGGATATATCGGGGTCTCTCTCTGTTTGTTCTTGTGCAGAATTTCGCAAAAGGGAAGAAAAAAAAACAAGCGCGACGAAACTTAACGAGCGATAATTAAAATCGACAAATCGGACGCCGTTAACGATCGTCGGGTTAACGATCGCGCTCGAAATTAAATCTTCGTGCTGCATCTGCGCGAACAACTCGCAGCCGGTGCATGCTACGCACGACCGCGTGTAAATCATTCGCAAACCACGTGTACACGCATTTCCGCGCGGCACTTACGCGCTACGAGACGCGCCGCAATACGCGACGAAGCCGCGACGACGCACGTGTGTTAACGTCATGCCGGTAAACGTGTCGGCGACACGTGTCAGGGGTGTAATCCATGGGCCTGTCATTGCGGCGACTGTGTGTCACGAGTGCACCGCCATCGACATGTTCTACAAAATGTTCCTGGTGTTAATCGTTGTTTGTCATCTGATAAATTAAAAATTAAAGTTCAATGCAAATTTAAAATTTTAGCAAGTCTTTAATATAACATCCTTAGAGAGAATATAATATTTTTTTGTTGTCAGATATTTCAGATAATTAATCTTTATATTCCGTGATTAAGAAAATATCTTATTTAATATATTAATATCAAAGGATCTCGTTATAATTAAATAATAAATGAAATGTATTTAAATTTTCAGACAAACAACTTTTTAAAAATCTGAACTCTGGATAAATTATTCTATTAAAAAAATAACAATTAAAATAAGAATTGTTAGAAAATTTGTATCAAATAATGCAACGTGTTAATAATTTTTCTATTCATATTTCCAACTTTTTCTAGGAAATAGCAGTGCACACAATGCTCATGCTCATTATGGAGGACAACAAACTGGAAATTCTATCTTAGCATCGTTTCACACAGCCCAGCAATGTATTCGTAAGTGAAGAGATTCCTCTTTAAATATGATATGAAAAAACGCGGCAGACGTAGACGAGGAATATCATTTCGTGATCGACAACCCGTCGTCGCTTCGCTTAATAATAACGCGCCCCATCATCGATCCCATTCCACACCCAGCATGACCGATCATTCCAATCGAGATCTCAAATCACGGCGTCTGGTTCGCGTCGACCTTCGAGCGTCGGCGACGATGCGCAAAACGCGTTACGCCGAAAGTACCGGCCCGGAAATCGTTAAAATTGTGCACACGCCTACTGGCCGATAACGCCCCGATCTCGCAACTTCACGGTACAAATTCGATTTTTGCGCGAGGCACCATGATCGTTGCATCGCACTACATCGTTTATGTTTCCACGCAAATGTACGCTAACGAAAGGTCGAATTTATTTTGCGTACAGAATCATCATCGCGTGAATTGCGTATGAAAAATCAAAATCCTGCACGTGTCAAAAAGTGAATAAAAAATGCATTTTTGTTTTATTAATTTTCTTAATTTAGGCGCATAATATTAATTGTTATATATTTATCTTTACAGCAAATTTTATATAATTGATTGTGAGATAAAGAAATATAAAAAATAAAATAAAATATATTTCCCCTTTATTTCATATTCAAAAAAAATATTCCTTTAAAATTTGACATACATCTAAAATAAATAATAAAATATAAGGTATACATGAATTTACAATTTTTAGAATTAAAAAGTTATCCAATATTTCCATACATTTGTATATGTTTTTATATATAAATATACCTATTTAATCATAAGAGAGAGAGAGAGAATTATGGGATTATAATAATCATGCGGCTGCATAATTATGCGGATGCATAAAGTATCACAAATTATATTATTAATAATATGATATATTAATAATATGACATTAATATTCGTATATATTATGCAACCAATTATACTTTTAGATATCTGATTCAGAATTAGATTACATGCAATAATTAAAGTATTATATGGAATATATACCGGAAATCACGTTTTCCAATTATTTAATATTAGGAAAGCACCGCTTTGCCACGTGTCGAAATCTACGTCTGTTTTATGTCGAGTATTATATCGCAATGTTGATACGCGCATAATACGCAGCCGCCAAACGCGTATCCATCGAGACCGGAAATCGTTAAAATTGCACGACCACCAGGTGACCAATAGGCACATTATTGCATTTAATGTAAGAGCAAGCTTTGGGAAAAAGCACTTCACAAAATGAGAAATCAATTCTAATCGCTAATAAAAAATAAGAGAAATCGTTTCTCGCACAAAGAAATAATGTGAATACTCTTTTGCGCGTAAAATACATAATAATACTTAAATTAAAATCTCACACATTTCTCTGTTTGTTATAATAATAATTAGAATTATATATGCATTTTTTAAATAATATTTCTATTATATTGCCGCGTAATGACTTTCTCAATAAAAGAAATATTCGTAATTTAATTACTCTTAAATAAAAAATTGTGAGAAATAGACGATAAAGAGATTACGACGCATTTTTTTCCGCGAAGATATATTATAAGAATGGCATTAACACGCGCGACCGAATAAGCACCGAAGTACCGAGGGGTTTAAGAATCGAGGATATATATATATATATATATAGTCTTAACAACCGTGCGAAATACGAGAGACGTCCTCATTAATCCTTCTGGCTTTATCCGGCGGTGCTGGCACGTATCTTAAAGATCCTCGCAGGAGTTGTGATAAATGTCATGCAAATGTGCGTCCCTTAACGAGCCCTAAGTTTTTGCCCGGCAGCGCGAAAACTTTCGTACTGTAGAGTTCGCGTTACAAAGGAGATACATCGCCCCCGCCATTCTGTCGCGTCGTTCACGCTTAAAGGAGCATAATTGTTGCACGTTGTAACTTCTGGCCTCTTACATCTCGTCCCGCATCAAAGACCTCGCATCCTACCTCGTTAAATTGCGAGCGTGCAAGCAACCTATGTCGACAGAGAGTCTTCTTATGGATATTTTATTTTTTTAAGCGCGAGTTATGCTGGCGCTTTGCACGCGACGCGTATTTGCTTATAAATAGCTATATCATTCGGTGCACTGCTCTTTCAAGATATTCATTAATCACGTACAAAAGAAAAATTAAGTAAATGAATAAATTAAATTTATATATTTAATTCAACTAAATTTATTCATTTGTAAAGAGCAAAAGAAATAATTATAAAATAGTTGATTGTGATAATTATTTTCAAGACAAATCTACCATCTTATGTATATTTAATTCTATTAAATGAACAATATTTTATTTATTTGTAAGAATGAATGACAGTAAAAAATTCAAACGCGCGCGTGCACTTAAAATAAGTATGATTCATTAAAATATTTGGTAATGTGACAGTGACATGTCATTAAAAATGATATAAGATACGTCAATATTTTAGGTAAGACTTCTAAAAATACATGTAAATATGATAAAAATTCGATTTAGTATTTATTTCGTCATTGTAATAATAAAAAAGGTAAGAATCTTCTCTCGACCGTACTGGCAAATATTATTTATTTAATCACAACGTTTCGAATGAATAAATAATATTTGCCAGTACGGTCGAGAAAAGATTCTTACCTTTTTTAAATTCTGTCTGGCGATTCTCAAATATCTACGTTTTAATAATAAAAAGATGAATAAACAAGTAAAAAAAAATTTATTTTATAGATTGTTCGATATTATTTTCTTTTTCGTAACTAGCTTTCGTCGAACATTAATTTGCAAAATTTCATGCAACGTTAATTTCGTGTTAGACATGAGTTGCGAATCACATGATTCACTACTTGGAATGCGTTCAAATCGAATATCTGCTCTAAGTATGCATCGACATACAGTCTTCTCGCACCGTCATAAAATACTCGAACTTTATGACTTTAATTTTATTTCGCCATTTCTTTGTGTATTTATATGTATATGTTCGCGCTTTCTCTTGCTCTCAAAAAAATATCTTATATAGCGAAAAAGAACTTTTACAAAAACTTTTACGTTTGTTATTTATTCTTTTCAATTTCCGTCGATGTTAATTGAAGAATATTAGCTTCATTAAAAAGTCAGCAGCCGTATGCATGACGAAGCGTAAAAAGTTCTCACTTTTCTTCTAATTATCGCGTAAGATAGCCCAGAGATAATTTCTAACGTAAACTCAAGAAGGGCGTCATTTATATAGCAATTAAACTCATTCATTATCAAAATGATGAATATCAAACGCTTTACTCACTTTTTTTATTCTTTCTTAATTTATTCTATTCTATCTGTATTTTTTAATGTATTACATTTGACTTTTTAATTTGAAATAATTTATATTATTTACATTATGTTTACACAAGATTAAAAAATACAAAAAATATTGATAGAAATCTTAATTGCATATTCTACATATCTATAGATATAAAAACTTTATCAAAAAAATTGTTTGCAAAAATTTGATAATGTGCTTAATATAAATTCAATTAATTATCTTTTATAAACATTTTTCATTTCGGCAAAATCTTTCATATATGCTTTTAAGGCACAATTTTTCCTGAAATATAAATTTCTCTCTTTATGCGCGTGTCTCTCTCTTTCTCTTGCCTTCTTCTTGTTGCTCTTTGCCTCTGCTTTCAGAACAAGGTAACAACAAGCGATCGAGGATATGCACCTGCTTTGCTGTGTGATCCTCTTTGATGTCACTCTCTGAACTTTGAATGTCACAAGAAGAGCAGGTTCGAGAAAGAGAGAAAACGCTGAGGGAGCAACATCACGAAAAAAAGCGTCTTTCAAAGAGGATACTTGCTTCTTCCTTTGCGCAAGAGTGAAATGTTTTACCATTTCGCGCATTTACCCAAATATACGCGTGTCGGATACTTCGCATCCTATGATACGCGAAGCAATTCTTTATAAGTGAAGAGAGAGTTGTCGGCAAGGTTTTAAATCACTTTTTTTCGTATTTCTCCTGACTTCTTTCAAAGTTTCACAGGCAAATAAAAGACTTCATTCACGAACGAAAGTTTTTACAGCAATATTGACTTTCGTTAGTTTAACAAAACAAATTTTAATTATGACTTTTGGCAATTTCTCATTGCTTATTTTTACTTGAATATTCTATTTTTCCAATGACTAAAGCAAACTGATAAACGTAACAATTTAATCTAATATTTAAGAAAACTGAAATATAAATACTCTATATTTTTTCAAAATATTTGATACTATATAATACAGTATATAATATGATATATATATATATATATATAACATCCGACTATATTATAATAAATATTCGATATATAATAGTAAAATAATAACCTGATTATTATACATTTTTTTAACATATAAATTCTTTTTCAGATCGTTGACGGAGCAATTATCGCTTCATTCAATGGCAAGATTTGAGATCGAGAAACGAGGATAGAATTCACAAAAAAACGTGCAACGTTCCTGAAGTCGACCAACATTTACTTCAATCAAAAAAGACATCAGCAATTACTTCAACTTGACTATAACGTATATTTAAAAGAGTCCTCGAGTGCATCACGGTATCGCGCATCATCGCGGATAATCGTCCTGCAACAGCTGCGGTGCATCACAATCACTTATCGTTCTCGCGAGGGCAATTTTTGCACGAACGCACGAACGACGTCCCCAGCGAATAGAAAATAAACAAGATACTGAAAGCTAAAACTTCAGGCCCGCAACTTTAAGTCCCTCGTGAATAATCACCAGTCTAGGGGCGAAAGTCTCGGCATACATAACCGACCGTAGTCGACCGATGACCAGCGCAGCCAGCCAAAAGATTGCAGAAAATCCATCCGTGCAACGAGATAAATTCTCTCGCGTGTGCCGCGCGGACGTGCAAAACAAATTAGAAGAGAAAGACAAAAACAAAATAGAGAGAGAGAGAGAAAGGGTGAGGGAGCAGGAAAAGGAAGGAGAGGAAAAAATAAAATAAAAAAAAACACAAGGACGGAGAGCTTGAAGGTACGAGAGGTGGTCGTCCGAGCACGCTGATAAACGCTGAGTAATGGGGACGCAAATTGCGTGCGAGGAATACCGCGTGAGAAATGAGTGCCCGATGCAAATTCTTCCGGCCGCGAGGGCGACACAACGACCGGTGCTACCGGACGCTGTAATTTCGTCTAAACGGCACGACGCGACCGCGAACGGGTCCACGAAGCTGACCGTTCCTCGTGGTATCAGTGACGATCCGACAAGAGACGTGTAATTCCCGGAGGAACTCGCCAATTAGCAAACCGCCTGCTTGGTAGAGAATTTCCCTTAAGTTGATACAACGTCGGATGTATCAACACACGAAGATCATAGACTGGGATTATGTTACGTTACGTTATTACAGCATCGATAACTCTCAACACGTTCCTCTTCGCTATGAAGCAAGATACACAATCTGCGAGATACTGACACAAATGGTCCGTATGTACGAAGATTTAGACGCGGATTATCCTCCAACGTCAATAGCTCTTAACCCTGATCTCGCGATGCGGCAGCGTGTTACGATATTAGGTCTCTGTATAGGCTCCGTGATACTACGAGCCGACGTGTACAAACTTCGCGGTACTACAAACTAACGCGTATAGTCTTCACAATAGAGAGTGACTCGGCAAGTCCGTAAGGCGTCTGTCGGTCTTCCCGGAGTTTCTGCGGCATCAATTACACCTCGCTTCCCCGGGCTTGTTCCCCGGGATTGATGCAGACTCTTTGCCGGAAGAGTGACTGTGCGATTATTCGAGAAACGACCGTACCGCTTTAAACTGGAGGAAGCGACTTTGCGTTGCATCATTCTCGTGATCAGGTATATCGGAACGAACGTGCATCTTTAAAGCTTTCCACGATGCCGAGTTATTATATAATCATGTAAATATAAGAACTAAATTCTTCATCATTATCGATCGAGTTAATATCAACGAAAGATGTTTGCTGAGAGATAGTGAGATTGACTAGAAATCATTGTTCTATGATGAAATCCAACGAAAAAGTAAATTCTTAGCATTGCGTTAATAAAAATAATGTATTTGAATGACAATTTTTCTCGTATTATTAGACAAATACTAATACAAACAATTTTCGAAGTTAGACTACAGAAGGTGATTATGTGTTTAGTGACAAGGTTTTGATCTCAAATTCCGCCGTGAAAGAAACAATCTGAAGGAAAGTGCGGGCATACTTTGAACTAAGATACCTTACGGTGTAACGTATCAAGGCTCAAGACAAACTCCTCGAAACGGACTCCTGGATTTGTCTACGCGATAGAGAGAACGTCAAGTGGCCAAGTCACAATCGCAAAAGTCGGGCGGAATTCTCGTCCTCGAGAAACTTTGTTCTTTCTAACGTCAAAGATCAAACAAAGGATCAAATAGTCAGGTGAAACGGACGCGCGTATCTTCCAAAAGTTTCTCGCGAAGAGAAGGAGAACAAGAGGAAAGAAGTCGCGTGCTACTCCTCTCGAGAGGCTGCGCTGATCGTCGCGGACAATCGACCGTTCATAGTGATCCGTTCTTTGTGATACACCGCGTACCGGGGAAAATAAGAGACAAGTAACACCGGAAAAAGGATGATGGCTAGAACGGGAGTGGGTGGCGTCGGCGGTGCCGGAATGCTGAGAACCAGGCGAAGGGACGTCAGCGTCAAGCCAAATAGAAAACTCGACCGAAAGTCCTCAAGAGGGATGATTTACGAGAACGAGGAGCTGAGACTGAGGACCATTCACATCAACGCCGAGGTGGAGCAAGGTAAAGAAGGGGGTTAAAGTACGAGGGAGAATATAGAGACGGCTCACGGAGCGCGTCTATCGATGAGTTAGGGGAAAAAGATAGAGGTGGGAGAGAGAGGATTGCAAATGTGTTGTTATAAAAGAACGTTATAATGGCTCAATTATTATTCATCCTCTCGCTTGAAATTAATGTAAATATTCGCGACGGACAAACAAGAACGATTTTTCGATGTACGGAAAGTCATTTCACCAAGTTTTTCTCGTTTTTTCGACAAAGAAATATATGCATTGAACTTAGTAATTAGATATTTTGTTAAAAAACTTAAAAAATAATATCTTCAGATAAATGAGACTATACGATAGAAAGATTCAAGCGCAATTCTATAGTTAATTTATTTTTTTATGTAATGTTATTTATGTAGTTTTTTTATTGCCAAAATTGTATATGTATATTTTTTCCTTCTCAAACCAAATTTTAAGAGAATATTTACATGAATTTGACTAGCGCAATTGCTCTGAACGTCATTGTTTGAATTATTAATTTGTCGTTATAGACGATTCACACTCGGGGGCCAAATTAATTTCACCGGGACTTCCATTACGCGTTAGTGGCAGGCCAGACCAACTAATAATGTTAAATATTTGATCCTTTGGAGTATGACTGCACCAGAGCAATCAAGGATTAATTTAACTACCGTGTTAAAGGAATTTTTAATATATCATGAAAAAGAGCAATTCCAAGCTTTTATTATTCTATTAAAATTAGCAAATATCTCATGAAAAAATAAAACTGACATCTTGAGAATACACAAAGTATCTCATCACATTTTCGAAAAAAGAACAAATCTATCTGAAACTTATTAAAGAGTATGTCGTTAAAGTTTTACACAGTGGATTATGCTTCCGTTACAAAAAATGCTCCGCTCTTCTTTCTCTCCTTTCCCATCTTTTTAAATACATTGCAAAAGTAATTGAGTACTTTTTTGAGACAGGTTTTAATAAATTTGCTCGACGCAATTTTGCTCTGAATTAAACGAAAATTAAATGACATTTTAAATGGATCACGCTAGTCTCGCAAATCTCATTGTCATTGTTGTTATTAATTATGAAATATTTCGCCATTATAAATGATACCGCAAATAAGCAGTAAAATATATTTTATGACATCATAGAGAATTTCATTATACGACTATGGCTAAATCTCGTAAACTGCATCGCGCCGGAATCGCCTACAAATAGACACGCGCATACACAGGATTGAAGTCGCCGTATACCGTACGGACCTACTACGAACTATTTTCGAAACTCGGCCTGCACACGCTGAATTTGTCCAGTTGGATAAGCGCGAGTAGCACAGTTTCTAGTAGCGGCAGACTCGATCCAGCAGATTTGACTCAGTCACTAAATACGCTCGAGCGAGCTTGAGAAGAACAAAACGCATCCGCACATCATTTTGTACAACAAAAGTTTTTTCTTACATAATATAATATTGCTTTAGTTTGACGTGAAAAAGTGCCCAACAAAAAAAAGAGAATAATATTAATTGTGACTTGTAATTAAAAGTGAACGCGATGAATCCATACAATTAATCCACGTGATTAATTTAATTGATAAAAAAATTTAAGTTATATATACAAAATGAATAGAAACAAAGTTAATCGTCTAACAGTGAAATTATCAGATTTACCAGACTATCGAGAATTCTTTAATAAGGAAAACACCATGTAAGAGCTATCGTTGAAATCGATTGTTCGATTGGACGAATTCTTTCGAAGAAGATCAATTAACAATGGTAGGTATATATGTGTGCTATATCATATAGCTTTTGGTAGATATTACGTGTTAATTATAATACAGGAATGCGAGAGCTTGAACGGATATGTTGACGTTGCGTGGAAATATGACGTTAATAATATAAAAAGTTTGAATGACGGTACGTGTATGAATCGCGTGTACGTGATTTCCTCGAGATTTATTTACCCGAGAAGCCAAGAAAAGCTTTGTTTTGGCAAATATTCCGGGATGGCGTTTGTTCTCTCGGAACTCGTGATCCAGATGTCGACGCTGTACAGACTCTAAATGCTAGCTTACTATATCTTATATATAATACTATTGAAACGTCAAACTAATCTCGACTTTTATCTTCCCTGTCGATAAATTAATAAAATTCGAAAACTTCAAACTCTATACTATTTCAAATTTCGACTATTTATAAACTTGAATCATCATTAGATAAATAAGCAATGATAAAATTTAATAATAAATCCAGATACATCGCAGGTAATGACGCATTGCTTTCGATATGTCTAACGTAATAAATAAAAATCAAAATTTTATTTTTAAAAATTTCTCTCATAGCTAATTTTGACACGACTAACTATAATTTTTAAATTAAAATAGCAATAAAATTAAATAAATATTGTAAATGTAATATATATTTAATATACTCTACATGCATATATATAAGCACTTTATATTTTTATAATTTTCTAATTGTTTATCTAAAAAAAAAGCATGATAATCTAATTTAACTACAAATCTTATATATCGTTACGAAATTATTAATTAGAAACGATTAAGAGACCACCTAGTATATAGTCAAACAGAAAGAGGCTCGACATTCCCGAGGAATCAAGATAACGTCTGAGCTTTTTTATCCCTTCCGGTACATTATGCAGCCGGATTATCGTAGTGCATTCAAGTAACGTGTGAAGAAAATCCTCCGCGATTAGAAAAACTGACAGCACGCCGAGAGGGTCCAAAGTGAGTTGTTGGATCTATCGGTTCTTCCCTTTTTCCGTTCCCATCTCATGCTCGCTCGATGGGAAAACCAGACGCCACCTACGTCAGGCTCGGAGATTATTTTGAGTCCTTTTTCAACCTCTTGATAGATTACATCGCCGCGTGAAGAAACGGCGCCGGTCTAATGAACAATTTATCATCGCCCCTGGTTGCACCGACACCGAATTTCTTCAATATCAAAAATATCGCGCCGTTGAACTTCAAAACTGATGATGTTAGACATAAGAAGCGACAATGTCACTCCTCACGACGAAACAATATTAAATCACTTAAAACAATTAAGAAAAAAGAACACAATGTGCAAAATATGTCTAAAAATCGTAATCGTCATACTAGAAAAATTTAAGTTTGACGTATAGATGAATAAAACGTTGATATTATCAACATATTTAGCGTGCATATAACGCAACAATTTTACAACAAATGCAAACACAAATTTAAATGATATATAAACTTGTCGGGGAGAAGATTTTTCTCTCGTTCCAGATTATAGCTTTTGCATAATATTGCGGTCAAGGCGCATGATAAAATGACGAAATTTATATGAACGGCGACGTATCTAAAATAACACGAAAAGACACAATGACGTTGATCAGTACCGGAGCATCTTGGTGTTACTGTTAGTAATAACATCAGATGCATGAAAAGAGACTTATCAAGAAATTCAAAATGATTTTTTATATATATATTTTACAAATATATCTTTAATAGAATTTAAAATGTACGAAATTTATATAAGAGAATGCATTTTTTTCTTCACAAATAATTTGCATATCTCATAATCTTATTCATCAATATTTCTTACTTAAAAACTCCGCAGTCGCAAAATAATTTCTGTACATTATTCTTACGTATATTCCACTGTCAATTAGGATTTTTTATTTTTTATTTTTTTTATTTTTAAGGAAGTAAGAAAGAAAAATACACACTAACTCTGGTATCGTAGCCCCGACGATAACACGGTCCTGACGTTGCGGGACCACGAGGGACTACAAAAGATTTAAATAGTCGCGAGGGCGAGAAAGAGAGAGACCCGCGACGATGGTTTCGTGACGCGCGATGAAGAAGCAGACGAAGAAGAGGTAGCTCGCTCGCGGTAGGGATGAAGACCACGGCAGTGATGTAGTTACCCGCCGACTAGTTTCGCCCGGTGACTCTAAACGGCTGGCAGACTTTTCCGCGGTCCGCGAAAACTGTCAAACTCACGAAGCGCGACCGGAAGCAGGACCGACTCCAGTGACCGCTCTACGTATACCGACATTTGTCATCGGCCGAAGCGTTGATGTGATACGTCGTCGATCCTCGATGTCGCGACGGCGACGACGTTCTCGCACGGAAACGCACATCTGGCAGAGAGACGCGTATCTCGGGGTTACGTAACGAGAAAGAGAAGGACGTCGAAACGAACTGTATGGAAGAGAAGTTTGCGGAGGCTAGTACAAAGTGCGCGACAAATTTGCGTGGAAGAGTAATAAAAAAATTAGTGAGAATATTTAAGTTTAAATTAGATTCGAGTGTTAGCGGCGTGCTAATAAAAAAATCAGCTAGCTTCGGCTAATTGTTATTCCTTATTAACGAAATCAGTAGTGATACGCTATATTAAGTTGACAAGTGTAGATATCTTACCTAAAATTTATATCTAAATTAAAATCATAATTAAAATTGAGTTTTCTAATTTTCTCGAACGTATATAATAATATCAATTTGTATATCTCGAGCTGTTATCTCGAGTGACGTTTTGCAATGCTTAAAGATATAAACACTCATCATTCGCACAATACGGAACATAACAGCTGTTCGCGGGAAATATATTATCATGGAAAATACTTGGTCACAGATCGGGGAGGAAGAAATGACGAGTGTTGTATGACGTCGATGCAATTAACTGACAGAATAGTGACAAAAATAAAGAACGCCTATTACGAGAACATGCTGTTTACGAATAAGCTGTAGAAGAATGAAATTCAGACACGTCGTTAAATTAGTCAATACACGTCGTATTGATGAAACGCTCATAAATTATTTAATGACCAGCAAAAATGACCCTCACCCTTATCATTCGAGTGTACGTAACTTCTTTAAGGAGACGATACGTACACGTAAGTAAAACGAACCCGCTGACTTTGATCTAACGAAATCGTGGCGAGTCGCGAATCGAAGAGGGGAGTTGATCTCCCTCGGCCAAGCCCTCGGCGAAAAGTCATCGAAGAAACCAGC